GGGTGTGGCGCGGTGACCAGGGGAGGTGTGCCCCAGGGCGCGGAAGTAACCTTGTACCCCTTGCTGGAGCCAGCAGTGCCCAGACACAACAGAGCAAGTGCGTCACGGAGGTCCTTCTACCCAAAGGTGACCTGACCACACCTTCAGACATTTCTACACTCACCACGGGCCTGTGTTCAAGGTCAAGCACATCTGGGCCTCAGTTTTTGTCTCTGTGAATGAAGACAGTATTTTCAGTCCTGCGCCACATTCTGTGGAAAAAATTTTTTTCTTCCATGTTTTCGAGACCAAAGTTTAAGAGAAACATGTATTGAGCCCAAGGGCACTTTACAACAGCCCCATGAGGTCGCTTCCACATCCATTTCCACATCTGGGAATCCAAGGAAACTCAGAGTCAGAGAGGTTAAGTGACTAGCTCTACATCACACAGCCGTACTCTAATCTTTCCAGGCACCTCCCCACATTTATAAAGGAAGCCTTAGGAGTCACCTGCTTGTTATGTAACAACTCCCAGCAGGTCCCCTGGGCACTTAAAACACAGGGTTTGATTTATAAGCTTTTGCTTTGCATGCTGGTATCAGGACCCTCTCCCCATCCTGGGTCAGACTGGTAGGCACATCTGGCAGACCAAGAGCCTCCAACACAATGACACTGGCTAAGGGGACAGAGGTAGAGAAGGGCAGAAGGCTGCTGGCTGCCCTGCTCCTCAGCATCGGCCTCAGATGGAGGGTGGGTGCGGCGGGGTGGGGACCCTGTTTGCAAACTGAGGCACTGGGCCTTCAGTGCCTTCCAGAGCTTTCCCCGCCCCACCTGATCCAACAGGGAGCCCAGGGCTCCTCCCCACCTTCACCTTCTCCCAAATCCCTTATTGTCAGCCCGAGAAGGGTGGGTCTGTTCTCATGACCCCCATTTACAATTGAGAAACTGGAGGCTCAGAGAGGAAAAGTGACTTACTTAAGGTCATACAACTTAGGGAGTGACCAAGCTAAAATTCTACTCCCAAATCTAGCACCGCTTCCTCTGCACTCCAGTCACAGCAGAGTGGGGGGCGTCCTGTAATCACAGCAGAATGGGGACCCCTGAGAGCGTTTGGCTGTCTCCACACTCCACCCTCCATAGGGGGAGGCCGCTGGATAGATCCCTGCGTGGCTATCTGCAGTGGCACCTCGGCCGGTGTGGCTCAGTTCGTGGGACCATCGTCCCATGAACTGAAGGGTATGAGTTCAATTACTGATGGAGCACACGCCTGGGTTGCGGGGTCAGTCCCGGTTGGGGTGCGTGCAGGAGGCAGCTGATTTATGTTTCTCACATCAGTGTTTCTCTCCCTCCCTCCCTCCCCTCCTCTGTCTAGAATCGGTGAGCACATGTCCTTTGGCGAGGAAATAAAATATATATGTATATATATATATATATATATCTGTAGAAGCAGGAGTTCACCCTGGGTCATGTGCTCAGAGGAACTTAGGGTGGGGAGGGGACAGTGACCAGTGGGTTTGCTCTCTCAGGATTGTCGCAGGGTGCAGGAAAGAGTGGGACCAGCAGGCAAGAAGATTAACTCAACTTGGGCACCAAACTGGACTGGTATGGACGTCACCAAGCAAGTAAATATGGAGCCACCCCCACAGTGTCAGCTTCCCCAGGGTGGCTTTTTCCGATATCTTGCACTTTCCAGAGGGTTAGGCTTGAGGGCCGGGGATGAAGATGGCTGGCTTGGGAGTCTCTGGGCTGGCTGAGGGGCCTGGGAAGCAGCCCAGTGGACCCTCGCTCCAGGACGGAGTGAGGCTCTCGTGGGGTCAGCTGACTGTGACCAGCTGGGGTGTACAGTGAGGGTGGGCTCTGGGTGAGGGGGCAGGTAGGGAGGAGGTTGCAGTCTGGGGCTGTCCCTGACCTCACAGCCCGGGCCTTCGCTGCCCCAACCCAAACAGGGTCGCATTTTGCAGGGTGTTCAAGATCCCTCCACAGACCAGCTGTGTTCCAGAGGGAACGCCAGAGGGGGGTGGTAATTGAGGAGAAAGTGTAGAGGATCAGAGGTTTAAGGTGTCCCAGGAGGGCGGGAGGTGAGAAAGGAGCAGCCTCTTAGCCTAGGGGAGGGGAGGATGGGGAGGGGAAATCTTCAAAGGAGATCAGTCTTAGCAGCTAAGGAAGATTCACCGCAGAGAGAAGGCACCAGGTCTTGGGAGGAGGGTGAGCAGATAGGGAGCATCTAGGGGCAGAATTTCTGGCTGGATAGTCCCCAGGCTTTGAAAACCATCCATGACAGCCAAGCCCGAATGAGGCTTATAGGTGTGTATGAGCCCTGCTTGAAGCAGCGGGCTGCTCCGTGACGCTGGCGTTCACAGAGGAGAACTTGAGGCCCAGAAAAATGAAGTGACTTATGCAAGGTCACACAGCTATAAAAGGCTGAGGCAGGAGGTGAACCCAGTGTGTGTGATTCTGGAGTCTGAGCTCCTCGCCACTGCACGGGGCTACTTCACTGTTTCTGCAGAGGGGAGTGCTGTCAGGAGCCTGAGTGGGGAGGGAGGGTGCACCAGAGCGCTCGCAGGTCCCACGCGTTGGCCTTGTGAAGCTGGGAGGTATGGGCACAGTACACCATCGGCCGGCCGCGGCATCAGGCCAGTCTGTGCTTCTGTGCGCTCACCTGACAGATGGGGTTGCCTAGCACAGGTACTGCCCATGTTACAGGGTCGTTGGGATCTTCCCATCCAATATTTGGGTCAGCAGATGGAGCGCCCCCTTGGGCTCTGGAGGTCCAAACATAAACAGATGATTTGATGGGCCCTGCCCTCAAGTTCCTCCAGGGACCCCAGGTGCAGGGCCCCGCCGGTGCCACAGAGAGGGTGGTCTGCAGACCCGTGTCCTGCCGTGAGCTCCATGTTACTGGTCTGCGCCAAGATAGATACAGACACACGGAGTAACTATTGAGAAACTCATATTGCAACTTGACATTGCTCCGCCATTTTCATTGTAATTTACAAAAGCCTCAGCTGGCAACAGATTGGAGAACTTAAAAAAAATCTCTACCACAAATAGTTTGAGCAGCTCTGGCCCAGATCCTAATTGTGATTGAAGGTAGGAAGTGCCCTATTTGCTGAGGGACGTGGTGGGGAGGGGAGCGAGTCATTCTGCCATGGGCGATGGGGGAGGAAGAGCCCAGGTTAGGCTTCCCAGAAGTGATGCTGAGCTGGCCACTGAAGCCGGAATAGAAGTTGGCCAGGTGTAGGAAGAGGGAAGTGCATTTTAGGCACTGGGAACAGTATATGCAAAGGCAGGCAACGTGAGGATCCTGTCATTCAGGGGATGGCAAATGATCTGGGGTGTTTGGAGAAGAGTGGGGGAGGCCTCCCTGGAAGGGGAAGTTTGGGCCAGGCTGGGAAGGCCCTGAATGCCGCCAGGCTAAGGGGTTGAGATTTACAGGCTGTCCTGGAGGTGTTTAAGGTGTTTAAGTTTAAAGGACTGGAAGGGCCATGTGGGTATGTTTTCTTTGGGTCTTCAGCCTTCAGGAAGCTGTTCCTTGGTGTCCAGTGAAGTGAGTTGCTGGTGACCAGCAGGCCTCTTCTTATCCCTGCAGAGGCAGCCAGCCCCATAGTTCAGCCTGGCTGCCCTGTGAGTCAGCCTGGCTGGACAGGCCTTCCCAGGCTGTCCTACTCGGTGGGTCGGCATCTGTGTGGTTGGCTGGCCCTGGCAGTATCTTTCTGTCCCCATTGCTCTATGCCACCAGTGCAGCGCTCTGTCAAGGTGGCTGTGCCAGCCACCCCCTAAGAGTCTAGAGTCATGTTCAGGAGTGTGACCAGGAGGGAGGGCTGAAGTGTCAGACTGAGACCGGGGAGGGTGCAGACACTGGGAGCCTGGTGTGTGATGGTGCAGGGCCTGTGTAAGAGATGAGCAAGGACAACGGCCTAAAGTTGCTTCCTGCGTGAACCCTCTGATGGGCGAGGGCTGAGACTCGCACCTGTGGCCTGAGGAGTGAACACCAGTTCGAGGTGGTGGGGAATGGTTAACGTCCCAACCTGGGCCAACTTGAGGAAGCAGACAGCTCATTGTTGCTGCCACAATCCGTGTCCCTCAAGAAAAGTCCTGTCCCTAGAGGGGCTGCTGGGGACAGAGGCGTTGTGCCTGGGCCTGCATGTGGAGAGTGCAGGTCCGTGGAGAGTGCCAGCCTGCCAGGGAGGGAGCTGTGGGGAGCGCCTCCCCCTCCAGCCCCACCTACACCCTCCTCCTCCAGGGCCCCTGCTCTGGGTGGCCCAGCCTCTCACTCCCTCCCTGCAGCTCCCTGTCAGCTGGGCCCCACACCGCAGGCCAGGCTGTCTGGCTGCCTTTCAAGGGGGAGTCCAGCTGCCTGGGAGCCGTGGGATGGGGCTGCGAAGGTATTCACAGCCTGTCCAGGCTCAGGCTTTAGGGCCAGGAGTCATTGAGGTGCTTTGGTTTTGACCGTGGTCTTGACGTCCTCAGAGGCTTGTATGCTTGGACCTGTCTGACCATCTGCCTTGGGCTGGTCCCATGCTGGACTCAGTACTTGCCATGGCCCAAGGGTCTCCCTGAGGTGGGGTAGGGCAGCCCTGAGGCAGGTGACCCCTCCACCCAGGCTTGCCCTGCCGCAGCGTCCCAGAGCTGGTACTTTCGCTGAACCAGGTGGGACTGCCTTGCTTCTCAGTGACCCTCTTCACAGGACCTCCTGAGCCTGTTCTGCAAGGCCTGGGTTGCTGTATTTCTCAGACCAAACCCTCCACAGCCGTGCCCTCCACTCCTCCCAGCCTGTCAGCTTCTCACAGAGGCTGTGCTGTGCTCTTCCTCTCTCCTTGGCTCCCCTTGTAGTCTGTCCCCTGCCCCTCCCCCAGTTTCAGGTAGAAACCAGACTCCTCCCTGGCACATGCCGGTGGCTCCCTGCCCTCCTCGAGAGCCCTGGGCAGTGGCCAGGGAAGGCCCCACTGCTTTTTTGGGCTCACTCCTGTCTTCTGCGACCTTCCCTCCCCTGCTGCTCCGCCCCCCCACAAGAATGCCTCTGCCTGCTTCCTTCCCAGGCCCTGCCCGGGGCCAGCAATGGCCCTTTTCTGGCTGTGCCCTGGGCTCCCAGACTCGCAGCAAGGCCCTCTGCTTTTGGAGCTCAGTTGTCGCCACTTCCTTTTCTCTGTTCCCCATTATCTGCTGTGTCGGTGGGCCTTGCATTCTGTGGGAGTCCAAACTGCTCTCACAGAGGCTATGTGTGTGTGTCTCGTTTTGTCTACACAGCAGGCTGGGAAGGCAGATACCGTGAGCCTGTTTTGCAGTTGACAGAGTCAAGGCTCCAGGGGTCTCAGACTTTGTCAAGGTCCTGTAGGAAGTCAGGCACAGCTGGGACTCCGACCCACCTCTCTATAGCTCTTCTTTTAATCCCATAGCTGTCTTGAAGGTAAGAACTTCATTGACCTTTGCTTGTTATGTTGTCAGCGGCCAGTGCTTGACTAGGGCCTAGGGCCAAGGGCCTGCCCAGGGCTAGGCCCAGCCCCACCCCCGGGGGTTTGCGCTCAGTGGTTGCCTGGGCTCAGGGTCATAGTCAGGGGCTATCAGCCCTGTGTGCTTTTCACATCCACTTTCCCCTCCTCCTTACTTCCTGAACTCTCGCCCCAGTGTGAGTTCCCCCAGAGACGACCTCTGCCCTGGGAGTCCTGGGAGTCCTGGGAGTCCTGGGAGTCGGGCTAAGGCAGGTCAGGCAGGCCAGGGCTGGGGACTGCTGGGCCAGGGGTAGGGTCTGGAGTCACTTGGGGAAGGGGAGTGGAGAGGCAGGGTGGCAGGAGACTCACACTCAGTAGCTGGTCTGTGCACCTCCTTGGAGGGCCCACCGCCCCCGCCTCCCTCCTCCTGGGTAGGATGCTCTGTGCTTTCGTAAAGGCTTCAGCTGCAGCTGCAGGGCACTTGCTCCTGATGAGGCTCCGAGGTGCAGAAGAACCAGCTAACCCGCCTCTCCTCTAGTATTCAAATTCTCTCCACCCCCACTCCCCCAAACAAACTACCAGGGACTGGTAGCTCACTGGGTCCCCGGGCAGCTCATTGGGTCTTTTCTATGTTGTTTTACTGAGTTTTAATTATGCAAATTATGCAAGGAATACAAATACATTTTTACTGTAAAGAAAACCAAGTATTATTTTAAAAGCTAAATATTATATTTCTTGCTAACACAACATTCAGCTTCTTCTGCACGGTTAGTCACCACAGTTATTACTTTGTTATTATCCTTCTAGATCATTTTCTACATGTTGCCACCCTATAGGAACGTGCGCCATTACGGCGTGTGTGCCCTCAGTTTCACGTCGTACAGGAACTCACTCTGCAAATTGCTTCACTCACGTAGCTTTGGACCTAGGAAATCTAGTGACAGTTTTACACAGAGAGCCACCATTTCTCTCTCGCGCTCTCCTTTTCACTGATACACGGTGGTTTTGGAGAGGATCATCGGTATTTAGGTATGTGTTATTTATGTAGCCATCCTCCTGCTGCTGGGCATGTAGGTCAACCCTGAGTTTATTCTCGTGTGGCTCCCTGGGCACATCTAGAGGAGCACTTGCTGGGCTCTGAGAGCCTATTGCATTTAAAAAAATTAATGAACATTGTTTACAATCTGTCCACTGAGACCGTGCGCAGAACCCGTTGTCTCACTGTGGGCCCCCCTCTGTTCCTGGGTCTCCTCTTTAGAGCCGGAGAGAACGTCAGCTTCCCGCCCCCCTGCCCCCCCCCCCCCCCCCCCCCGTCCCATGGAGCCTTTCTTCTTCACACTCGGGCTGTCCCGCCCTTACTGAGAAGGGGTGGTTGAGCAACGCCCCGCTCTTGGGCGGCTGTTGTGGTATGTGGACTCTGGCGTCAGAATGCCTTGGTTCACATCTTGGTCTTTCTGGGATGCTACTTAGCCTTTCTGTGCTTCAGGGTCATCATCTATCAGCTAGAGATGACAATAGCATCTGTGTCACTGATGCTATTGTCTTGAGTTGCTGTGAGGACCAAGTAAGCTAACAAGTAAAACTCAAAACACCATGCCAGGCCGGTAGTGAAATCCCAGTGATTATCGTCCTGTATGAGCTCCAGACCCAGCTCTGTGGGCAGAGGGCCCGAGCTCCTGGTGGGCAGCCCAGGGTGGCTCCAGCCTTTGCCACAGCTTCATCCCACTGGCCGCTGCTCTCCCGGAGGAGGCTGCTGCCTGGGAGTTGCAGCGGGCATCACGTTCCTGCCCAGGCCGGCCCTGCAGATTCTGGACCGGGGCCTACCGGGAGTGAAGGAGGTCAGCCCGACCCTTCACTTGGCGGAGGTGGCCAGGAGCCTGGTAACATAACCCCACACCTCAGGCACATTTACCAGCTCTCAATGGGGCCTGTTGTGGCCGGGGATTTGATCTCCCTTGGCCTGCGTGGTGGGCAGGAGAAGAAAGCAGCCTGGGGCCAGCCTCTCCTCTGGGAGTCCTGGGGCCTCTCTGGGCCACACTGGCTGGTCCAGGCAGGGGTTTGCCTGGGACAAATCACTGCAGGGGATTGTATATTTAGTACCAGAAAGGATGGCCCTGTTGCTCTTTTCCTCATGACCCCACTCCCCCTCTGTTGGGTTTAAACCACCTTTATGCCACTGTCTAACCAGTTTCTCCCAGCTACCTTTGAAACAGGCAGCTTGGCCAAGGCCATTCCACAGATGTGGAAACTGAGAGGCCCAGAGAGGTTAAGTGACTTTCCCCAAACCACGCAGCCACTGACAGAGTTAGTAATATACCCAGGCCATCTGGCCTCTTGTGCAATTCTTCTTCGTAAGGCCACTCCATGTGATAGTCTTGGCAGAAGATGCCCAGCCAGGCAGCCCGCTTGACCTCCTGCCTTCTGGGCATGGCGCGTGTGGTCAGTGAGCGCAGAGGCGGGGATTATTTCCTGAGAGGCGAGAAGTGCCGTGGCCGGCCTGGGGCCCGGCCCTTCCCCAGCATCAGCCACACAACTTCTCCGCAGCCAGAGGTGGCATGGGACCGAATGTGGCTGCTTCAGCTGAGGCCGTTCGCCCTTCTAGGGAGAATGCTCGCCCTCTGAGCCCGTCCTGAGGTGTGGGTGGGGCTGCAGCAACCCCGGGGACTCTGAATACTCCTCCCAGAGAGGTAGGAGAGCAGCCACTGTCGGGCCAGTTTTAAGACTCCTGGAGAAAGCAAGGCTCAAGGCCTCGGTGCCATTCTGGCGCTGGCAGAGGGAAACGCAAACCACCTCCTCAGTGCAGACGTGGACCCTCACCAGTCATGCTGCTGGTGGCCACCAAAGACACTGACCTTGCCTAGCTTGGAGTTAAGAGCACAGTCATTGGTATCAGAGGAATGTGGGCTTGGGTCCTGGCTCGATTATAACTTTATATTTATTGAGCACATGCTGTGTGCCAGTCTTGACCTCGGATATTTCACTTGATCCTCAGAATAAGCTCAGGGGGTAGATGCCATTATTATTTTCCATTTACAGCTGGGGAAACTGAGGCACCGAGTGGCAACGGGCTTTCCCAAGGTCATATGAGTGTGAGACTGGGATTTGGGTCCCGGCACTGTGGCCGCAGGGGCTGTGTGTGAGCCACTCAATGCCTCTCACAGCCAGGGAGGGCCACGGGGACGACGACACACCTGTCTCATTCCTGGCATAGTGCTGGGCACACGGCAGGTATTTAGTAGGGCTCTGTCACGTGAATAACTGTTCAGATGGACGTGAGGCTTTGGACAAGGGACCCCGCCTCTCTGGATGTCAGTTTTCTCACCAGCGTGGATGGGCAGCGTCCAGCGCAGTAATATTTGAAAGTGCCGAGCTCAGGGCTTGGGCCCTAGCAGCTGTGCTCGCTCTGGGGAGCTGCTCTGAGCCATTGCACTGGTCTGCAGACACCTGCCAGGGGCAGAGGCAAGTTCTGTCCACCTGGGTGGCTGTGGCGTGTCCCCTGTGGCTGGCCTTGGGCTTGCTGTTCACAAAGCCAGGGGCCAGAGGGCTGAGGGTGAGCACCCTGACCACATTCTTGAGGACCCCTGCATTCCCGTGAAATATTCACAGCCTGCTGGGTGGTTCATGCGCATGTTTACCAGTCAACTTCTGAGTCATCTGTCACCCAGGCTCTGGGAGGTGAGGTGACTTGCCCAGGTTCCCACAGGTGTGGAGCGTGATTCCAGTCTGCCTCACCTGCTGCCTTCAAAGGAGCCCTCTCGGTTGCTGTGTATCCCCTGTGGGTTCCGAAAGTGGGGGCAGGTGCCTGGGGCAAAACCAAGGGGGGCCCTTGATGTCTCCATGGTGCCTCCCACTTCCGCTGTCCCCACAAGTGGGGACTCGGCTCAGATTTGCCATTTTTGTACAAGCTCTAGCAGTAGGCTCCCACAGTGGGACTTAAGAGATGCCATTCCAGCCTTCGACTCCACCACAGGTTTGCTGTGTGTCCTTGAGGGAGTCCCTTCCCCTCTCTGGGCCCTACATCATGAGACTGTCAGGCTCACCGACACCTACCTGCTTTTTTGTCCCCCCTTTAAGGGGTATGGTTTGGGCCTCAGGGTCTAGACTGGCATTAGCTCACCCGATTTTAAAAAGACTGGGATACTGGGGACCCTCCACCTTGCCAGTAGGGCCCCTGGGCTTGGAGCTAAGGACCAGGTTCTGGTCCTGAATAGATGGAGACTGTGCAACACACGTCAGGGTGTGGTGGGGCTGGCCGAGGAATCCCTGACAGGGCCACTCCCCTCGCCCCACCCGAGACCTCGGGTTCGGCAACTGCACCTAGCGTGGGTCCGGGGAGCACAGCTTTTGGAGCTCATGAGATCTGGGTTTGATTTCAGACTCTGCTACTTAACTTCCACTAGCTACTTTTCTCACCTGTAAAATTGGGGGGCTGGGGGGTGAAACTTTCTTCCCGCGGTTGAGGTGCAGATGAAATGCCTGCATTTCTCTCTAGCAACCTGCTGACACTTAGCAGGTCCTAAGTAGCGTGCATGGGTCTGTTGAGCGTGGTGGGGCGGGGGTCAGAGAAACCTCCGGAAGCCTTGCCAACAGCCCTGGAGGCTGAGTCCAGAAATAGAAGACCCCGGGGACAGAGGCTCCTGGTGGCCAGGCTGGGAGGCCACACTGAGCTCGTTGCAAGGGCCTCCCCTCCCTCCTGGTGCTGTTGGCTGCATAAATTACTCGGCAGCCTTTGGGCTAATTTTACCTTCTTGGTTTTCATGAATCATTTCCCATCTGGGGGTGTGTGAGAGAAATGGAAACAGTTCTACCAGCTGGATGCCCGGGCCCCAGCCGCAGTGAAATACCCATGGTGAGCCCCGCTCGCTTGTTTGCTCTCGGAAGCAAGGCCAGAACACCCGGGGACCCCAGAAAGGGCCTGCAGGGCCAGCTTCTTCCAGCTGTGTCCCTGCACCTTCGGGTTATCATGATTTGGGGTAAA